TGATCATTTAGAAGTACGTGTTTTTCGATAAGGCGGTATCGGTGTTTGGTGTTCTTCCGGCTTTCGACCGTCCTCATTACCAACAAAAAGGTGAGTTGCAGAAACATGAACAAGAAAGGGGGAGTGGGGGTTCTTGATTTCGTATGCAATAAACGCTCCACTGGAAGAGCCCCCGGGCGATATATATGTGCGGCACACCTAGCCTCGAAGCTGAAAAAGCTTGAAATGGCAGGGTGTGGGCTTATGAAATCTTGAGCTGCACAGATGGTGTCGTTTTCATTGAAGCACACGTGTCAATCGTTGGGCTAAATCAGAGGTCTCCAAACCCCGGCCCGCGGGCCAAATCCGGTCCGCGGAAGTCTTCTCGGCCAGTGACTTGCCGTGGACCTCCCAATGATGCCCAGCCCGCGGCCTTCTTTTAGCAGGCCCGCTGCTAACAGGGCAAAAATAAGCGTGCGCAAGGAAAAGGGGGCGCGATGCGGTACCAAGCGCGCAAACCAAGATACCAGAAAAAACGAAAAGAAAACTGCCTCGAAAGGTGTCATTCTAAGCCATGGCTCCGAAACAACCTCCTTTTGTTTTGTCTTTCTTTTTACAATACACTAATCAGAAAACTGCCTGTCGTAAAGCGGGCCCTCTCGCCATATTAATAGTTGTATATTGTCAACACCAGCATCACCATCCTTAGTCTCAGTTGTATATCTAGCAACGTATGCGAAAATTCCTTTGCTTTCTCACTATATTGTGCTTTTAGTGTCCTGTGTCGTAACTATTGCGTATTGTTAGCATCGGTTCTACCATTCTTATTGGTCATCTGAATTGTGTAAGTATGCCAAATTTTCATTGCGCTTTGTTTTTTTTATGCTTCGTGAGTTTCAGGGGTCCCAATTATTCTGTAGTATCACAATTAGCTTAACATTTCATTTCAAAACAAAGTACACGTATTATCTGCCTTAAATTCCTTTTTATTTATTAGTGCTTTAAAGTTATATAATAATTTAAATGCTTATATGGGATTATCTATTTGCTAGTTCCTCATTTATATATATGTAATTATATACATTTTTTTTCCGTCCTTCGAAAATGCGAAAGAGCCACAATTAGTCCCATTTGTTAAGAACTTTTGAGATCCCTGGGCTAAATGATTTGTTGCTCTCTGTATTTAAGGTTACGAGATCAGTGCGCTCAGCTTTGTCTTTTCTAGAAGTGTCATCGTGGCAAACTATAGGCTGGTGAACATAGATTAGAACTCAGCGAACCAATAACTGTATTTTAACAACATCGCAAATAGGTTTTTAGGTTGCTATAGGAATCGTTTACAGCCTCCCTTTGCTTAGGTACTTTTCTGCATCTCCATCCCCATCTACCAAGCACTCGGGTCCCTCGCCTCGTTAAACCAACAAAAATGCTTTTTTTGTGTGTGGCTTCGGCATCTGTGTTTACGCAGATGCGAATAAAATTATTTGATTAGATTTGATTTATGTTTAAAATAAAAGTTGTCAGCGTAGAATCAAAACACGTTTTATACACAGATTCGGTTTTGCAGAAATCTTTCCGAGTATATGTATATCTAATATATCTAAACCCTAGAACTAAATTCTAAAAAAGCCTGGTCGTCAAGGCAGTCTTAGGGATTCTTCCGGTTGTCTATATTTTTCACTTTAAAAAGCTCTTTTAAACAGCCCCTAAAAGGGATCTTCATGAAAAATCTATATGAGGTTCTTTTAAGCTCTTATTTTGAGGCGAAATTGTTCTTCATCACCCATAGAAAAATATCGTAAGGGTGCAGGCGAGCTGGTGAATATTAACCATGTTGAATTAACCTGAGACTGGGGTAGAGAAGATGTTTCTTCTCTACCCCAGTATCAGGTTAATTCAACATGGTTCATGACCCAGTTGCCTTTCTAGTGCGCCAGGGGGGATAGTGCTTGAGGCGAAAACGTTCTTCATGAGCTGAAAGAAGTCTTGGAGCGTCGAGGAAACTTTCAAGGCGGATTTTTTTATAGTGATGAACGTCACGAAGGTACCAAATATCTAGTGTATGTATGGATATTTAAAACATACTGAAGCCGTCTGGTGTAAAAGCGGCTGTAGGCCTCTATCGGATTGTCTTGGGGATGGATAGAGGGTGGTACCTTTAAAACACGTACGTATTTTCGAACTACATTCAGAAATACGCTGCGAATATATCCACGAGTGCTAGTCTAAGAATATTAAACACGCCTTAGTTGAAAGGAGGATTAAGCAGTTCACGGTAGAAGGACTGCTTTCAAAGTAAGTCTATCAAGCTCTGGTTCACTTTACTGAAGATTGTATTCTTGTGTGTTTTAATTAGCTTTTTGCGGTTTTATAATTACTTATTGGAGTAATGGGGTACAACTCAAGCGGATGACGACCTCGCTTTCCCTTAAAAATTATCCTAATCTTTTTTTCTTTTGGGGAGGGGGGGGGGAAATCAATTGGAGTATGGAGCTGCGTTTTGGGCATGAAAATGTCTTCCAATGAACCATGCAAATAACGTAAGCAATGAAAGGAACAAAGCGTTATGGTGCGAATGCCTGATGAAGGTGGCAATAATTGACCTACTTGTGACTGCGGCACTAATTTGTTTTCCTTTAATATAGTGAAAGAAGAAAAGACGCTGTGAACCGTGATACTGAATTGATTTGTTTCATGATGTAATTAAAATCGGATTACCAGATTTATTTTCTAATAAAACCAGATCGATGCCCCGAAATGTTCTTAAATGTAGATATGACTTACTGTTCCTGAAGAAACGTCACCCAGTTAGTAAAACCCTCTGCAAAAGCACGTGTCTCTTACCGTGGTAGAGATCAGACTCAGTAGTAAGCTATCATTACTGAATGTGAAACAAGGCGACCTATTGAGGGGAATAGATATTTCAATATTGTAAATTGCTTTCCTCTCTTTCTGAAAACCGGACACCAAACTGGCGCAGCAGTCGATGTTTATTTCATGGCAGATTTGAGAGATTTTCTTAACATGCCTAAAATATATCACCAGTTTATTCTTTGGTCCTTCTTGAAAGGCTGAATGTTTATTTATTTCACACGTGTTTTCAATCGCCGCACAAAAAGGTTCACATTAGGCCCATACATGTGACATATAAGATTAATCAAATTAAGAAGTTCAAGAAGAACTAAATCAAATCTACTTTCGACAAAATGTAAACATGTAGCCAGGTAGCATTGCCGTTGGAATAAATTAGAGCTCTGGAAAGGAAAAATTAGAGAAAACATTAATCTAGTATCAGATGCCAGTAAAATATTGTGCGTGTTCTCATAGTGCGAACTTCTAGTTCTGTGTGTAGTTAATTGTTTTGTATCAGGGAAGAGCAGGTCACGGCATGTCTATTTTGCGTGAAAAAGCAACAAATACGAGAAAATAGAGGGAGACAAATGTTTCTTTGACGAGAAGCTTTTTTTTATTGGCATTCCTTCCAAATGATCTCGTTTCGTTTGTACAACATTCACAGCGAAAAGTGAAAGAAACATGTTTCTAATAACATTGCTACAACACGTACATTATACATAATACCACAAGCACTCGATGCCGGCCAGAAGGCTCGTGCTCATTCGCTCTGTCCAAATACATTATAAAATGCCCGCCCAGACAAAATATACGTCCGACGTACCGATTGCTGTGCATCGCTTTGATAATCTTGAACCTTCCGCGATTTCTCTCTCTATCCATTTACAACGAATAATGTTCAGCTTTGTCCCATTCCCTGATCATTTTAGTTTTATTTCTCTCCTGCGTGTTCTCCTCCTACACTCCTGCAGAATGACATGTCAATGTCATGTTTCATTAAAATAATTTGCATCGTTCCGGTGGTATATAGTTTGCTCGACTGACGCATTTCATTTATTGGCGCATACCAAAGCCATTTTCATTGTTTGTCTGACTCTCCTCATGTTAATCCATATCGGACCCTTTCTATTTGAGTTAACAGAAAACCGTTTGTGCCGCATGACTTTGATTGCGATTATTTAGGTAGGCTCTCTTGTACCACTTGAACCTAACCACAACAATGCGTAAGGACAGCAACATTCCCAGAAGGAGTGTAACTTTACTTTTGAGACGTCGTCCTGTCTATTTTCTGTCCCTTCTACGCTTTGATGCTTCTTCTCTACGCCAATCTCAGGTTATTTCAACATGGTTACTAAAATAGTTAATTAAAAGTGCCCTTTATGGGACACTTGCATGTGCCGTCAATATTTTTTGTTTTTAAACAAGGCTCTTCATGAAGCTTTTGTCGATCATGTATAATTTTTGTCTCAGGTAGAAAAATTGAGAATAAATGTCCTGTCATCGCCTCTTGCGTGCACTGCGCTTTACTTGGGATCTGTTGTCGTTCAGTGCTAATCTCTGTTTGAGCGGTTAGGAATTAGTCCCTCTTTATATCTGATAAATTATACACAAAACAAGGAACAGAATTCTCAGTGTTTTTCGTATAAGCACTGCTCGTAATTTACTTTGTTACTGCCTATGAAGTTATGTCGCTGTTTAATCTCTATAAAAATCGGCTAAGCGCACGATGCTGAAGCGAATATTACCAAAAGCGCTAAAATTTTAAAGTTCTAACCTGTTCACTTATTGATTCTAGTCGGAAACTTCAATGGTGACTATTCCAGTCTCAGTTTGAGTTTATCGCAACAATAAAAATTGAAAATATGTTAGCGTTCCCCTAATAGAAAATACGTACTATTAGCTTGGGTATCGTAGACCTCTGCGTTAAAAATAAGCTCCACTTTGGTTTCCACGAGGTAAAGTTTTAAAGGTGATAAAGGTTCAATAAGTGTTTCTGATCATTTACGCAAGACAAAACGAGGTTTGAGAAAATTTACAAAAATGTGTTAACGATGTAATTTTTTAAAATAAAATTGAAGGGCGGTACAGTTGTCCTCACATTAACGTTGATACCCCTCCTCAGTGTGATACACACACTTCTCTGATACAAATGGAAAGCATATGCACGTAAAATAGAACTTTAGACTTAAGGATGCACGCCCGATGAAATTTAATTTCTAGCATTCTGCCCGAAGGCACAAAGACTGACTCGACCAAGGTTTTTATTGTTGTTGTGTTTTGGCTGCAGTAATGCTCACTTGGGGTCATTCAAACAAAGATACTATAAGCAAAATTACTACTTGACCAGTGAACGACGAAAAAAGTTCACGCCGTGCTATCAGCTTGATAGTGGGGCAGTGTATGCATCCTGAAGATTTAATAATTCAAATGTCTTTACTCGTCAGCGTTTATTGAAATTATCGTCGTAATACACCATCACCTGGTGGTTCGCCAATAATTTCACATGTCGGGCACACTCCAATCACGGCAAACGGCTCAAAGATATAACTGCTTCCCGAGTACCACTTCTTCATACGTAATGCCTGACAGCGCACGCCAGCTACGCCAAAGTATAGCTATGATGTCGGACAGCCCGAGTCGTCGGCCCGTAATTTCACTCAGGCTCCCAAGCAATTTTCATGAATCTTGTGCCATCAGCCATAAGCGAGTTAGGTCCGCCTCCTTCGTGTCAAAAAATAGGATGGAAGCATCCGATGGCTCAGATAATTGTAATAATAAAACCCAGAAGGCTAGAACGGTCTTGCTCCGCTCAACGGCTGCAGATAGTGCTTTCTTATCAAGCACAATTAATCAGTGGTATTGGAGCTACCAATGTAAGAAACTCATTTGCAAGTTCTCAGCGTAACGAGAGCTGCGACCATTATGTCTCAAGAATGCAAAATGTAGGTCCGCCTATTGCGAGTCCAAATCCTAACCGTTCGTACGCAGGATGGTGATGCACGCTCAAAATAGTATTTAAGCAGCAACACATTACCAGGTAATCGTCCGATGGCGCTATACTTCCTTATTTTTCTACAACATATACCTTTCTGAACTGCTGCGTAGGACGTTTCCTGTGAACCATATTTGCGCCCAAGAAAAAAATAAAAAATAAAAAGCGCGAAAAACACTTCGAAAGAAGTCTTCGCAAAATGAAAACTTATTTTTCATGTGGGACATGCGAAATGTACAATCCTAACATGTACGAAGACACACAAAAAGGGAAACAAAGATAACAATGAACACGATGTAAAATATCACAGCTTTCCCAAAAAGGAGAACACTCGGTAAACCTAACACGTGTTTTATGTACGTATGTGTGTGTATTTTGCCTGCTAGTTGTACTTCGCCTTAAGTTAGTAGGTTTTGATATCTTGATACTCTCGTTTGTAGAACTGTGCCATTATCACAAACCGCAACCAAAAGGAAAAAAAAAGTAGAAAGAGGCGCTTTATTTTCACATGTGGGATCGAGAGATTTCAAAGGTCGCTACCAAAAACTGAACTTGGCCACCATGAATTTCGTCTGATTGTTACGCGAAACTACGCCCTGCAAATTATTTGTTCCCGAATAAGTCTCCGACGCTTAGGTCGCCTTTTTTCTTTTCCCCAGTCGCTTACAGTAGTTGATTTATACCTGTGGTTGCACCGAATCGTCTTCCAATCAAAAATAAGCGTACAAAGGACAAAGTCAGTATGTATACCATCATCCGGTTTATTCCTGCCGAGAAGTGTACGTCATGTCAGAAATCGAAACGCGTTGTCATGAGCTTTCCACAAGTTCTGTACATCTTACTCGTTGTGGCTTTTGTGTTGCGAGAGCATGCATGAGCGCGCCCGCGAGACTGTGCAAGGTACACGCGAGCGAGTTCTTCTTTTGTTGTTTTTTTGCGGGGATACGATCAACTGATTTACAAAATAGGTTGGGCTACGTTACCAGAACAGGCTAGATGCTTCTTCTTCCTTCTTCTTTGCTGAGGCCACCGGAGGCAAAGAGGGTTTGTGCGCGCACACAAGAGTCCCTCGGACAAGCGTCGCAGTTCAGATAAATAATTCCTCGGGAATGCAAGCAGTCACCCCACGCTCGAGTCTTCTCGCGTCATTCACTGCACTCGATTGAGAAGTCGGAGAGGAGCCTCGGCCGGTTCTTGTCGGTGGAGCCCCGTCCGAATCCGAGGAGAGCCTTCCGGCCAGCCTTTTGAGTAGGCACCCACTTGCGCGAAATGCCCCTGAGTATCAAATCACTTGATCCGTTTAAGAGGAGAATTCCTTCCGTCAGTGAGTCGGGCGTTTGAAGGCATTTCGATGGCTGCTCGGAGCCTGAGAATCGTGCCGAGCTCCTTTTTTTTATTTTTTGTCGCGACAAGTGATAGTGGTGAAACCGGCTGGCACGCGGATGTTTATCTCTCAGACCTGAGTATATTTACATGAACTACATGACACACTAACGGCGCTACCTATCGTAGAACAGTTCGCGCGCGCACACACACACACACACGCATCCACACACACACACCCGCACACACAGACACACATGCGCGCGCGAGTGCGCGCACGTGGCGGAACCCCCCCGGGCATGCAACGGCTCGGCGTGAGTCAGCAGTTCCTCGAGCTCCGGAGTCCATGACGCCTGCCGTGCCGGGGGGGCCTAACCCACAGGAGGAACTTTTTAGCGGAGGTGCCCGCGGGGCAGTGTCCACGGCACTCTGTCTGCGGTCGGACCGCGGGCACTCACAACACAGCACGCACTAGGGCACCACGCGCCTCACAGTTCCGTGAGTCCATAGTCCCCTTTGGTGTCGATGGAGGGAGGCGGTGGCAGCGGCGACATGATGTGCGTCTGAGGTGGGTGACTCAGCGGGTGGCTGTTCAGCAGGTGCGCGTGTTGGTGCGGCGTCAGCGCCAGGGGGTTCGACACCTGGAGCGACGGCGGCGTCTGTTGGTGCGGCGGAGGGTGCGAGTCCTGCGACGTGTTTTGTGACTGGGGCGGTTGCTGCTGCTGTTGCTGCTGTTGCTGTTGCTGCTGCTGAGCGGCGCGATTGGGATTGTTCTTCTTGACGTTTTTGGTGTTTGGTAATTTGTTGTCCTTCTTCCACTTCATGCGTCGATTTTGGAACCAAATCTTGATTTGTCGCTCGGAAAGGCAGAGCGAGTGGGCGATCTCGATTCGCCGCCGTCGCGTGAGGTAGCGGTTGAAGTGGAACTCTTTCTCCAGCTCAAGGATCTGGTGTCGGGTGTACGCTGTCCGCTGCCGCTTTGGTTCCATCCCCGTGAAGGTGCCATTCGCAGGATCGGAGGCGAACAGGAAGGACCGACCTGCGCAAAAAAACAAACATGGGAACTTCTATCAGTTACTGCTGACATTCACAAACGACACGTTCAAATAACTGCGCATACACGTTCAATGGAGGAGGAAACTCGGCGAATGAGGAAGCTAAAAAAAAATTATACTTAAAAAACAAAAACAAACTGCGCTGTCACGTTGACCATGACGTTTCACCACACGTAGGGCAACAGCGCAGTTTTTTTTTTATGTACAAACATATTTATGTTTTCTTCATTCGCCAAGTTTTTGTAGATTGTAGCGATTGGCTCCGCCAAGTGTGCAGTAAAGAAAACACTCCAGATTTTTAAGTCTTCACTGAACTCAAGGTAGAAGCGCACATAAGGAGGGTATGAGGCTGGCGTGTATGTTTTCGTCCTGGCGTCTCGATGAAATAACTGTGACCCGGAAGTGGTCACTGTTTTCATCCCTTTCCAACCAGGGCTCCCTAAGTACAGCCGCGCACGATATACCGTATTTACTCGAGTAGTAGCCGCACTATTTATGAAAAAAACATGAGGGTTCGCTTTTCCGCGGAGCACGCAGATTGCCAATCACCGCGATCGACACCATCATTCCAGCTGTCAGGGCAGAGATAACGTCTTTGAGCGAAGGTACCATCTGTGAAGATGCAAAATTGTGCTCTCGATTGGGTTATTCGCTGTGTAATTTACGCGTGACGCAATGATTGTCTGTATATATGTTCAATGGGAAAGTGGACGCAAGGGACTTGTTGATAAATGGTGCGGCTATTTTCGAGTAAATGTTAAAACCTTCGTTGTCAGTTCGCGACGATGAAACTCGCACGCGTGTTGAAGCGTATACTAGCTGAATGCGGAAGCACCACCTCCAATTCAGCATGGCTGATAGCACCTGGCTTTTACGTACATGTCGTCCTCGTTTAAACCCAAAATCTACGTGTCGCTGACCACGATGCATCGCTGCGCAATTGAAATAAGCTTGCCTCACGAGATTGATTTGAGACAAGCAAGTGTTGTGAGTCGGTGTCATAACCTTAACATATGCGGTGCAGCATTTGCTGATTTAAAGTCAATTTCGCAATAGTAGATTGTTTCCCTCATTGAATACCATATTGATCACTTCTCTAACTAACGACTGATGGCTTTAAACTGTTAGGGAATATAGGATTTTACTCATTGAGACGTCTGAACCTCGTGAGCATCGCAGATTCCTCGCAAAATCTGAATCAATTACATTAATCAATTTTAGTTTACTACATGTACTGTTACTAACACAAACACGAGAGACGTGCGATGGAGCATTCGGACCAGCTGTCACGTTCTGTATACAGAACGTGACAGCTGGTAAGCTTCATTTTAGCCCGATGTCTATAGACATCGGGCTAAAATGAAGCTTACCTCTTCTTTTTTCCTTTTTCGTGGTAAACGGTTTTTAAAATGGATATGCAGACTAACCGTCGGAGCGCGGGTAGACCAACGCTTAAAAAGTAAACAATCATTTTGTTAATAGGTAGGTGACAATTAAGTGTTAATTATGCAAAAAGTAATGAAAATGTGGTTAGGTTCTTTTCGAACAACTTCCTAGCGAGGACGGAAGCTTGGACCGATCATTATGTCGGGACTAAAAATAGTCTCCCTTTGTATGCGTTGAAAATTAACTCGCTGCAAAGAATGTCATAGAATTAGAGATCTCTTAATGACCTAAATGTTTCGTGATTGATACCCGGTGCTTTCATTATCTCAGCGTTTGGGCATACTTTCGGTCTTATGTTTCTGTCTTTACGGTTTATCACCAAGCTATATGTAGAAGCGAACCAAACAAGTAAGAATTCCCCTTATTGATTAAAGAAGTAAAATACACCGCGTGGGGAATGTATACCGCAGTCTGTGTGGGTTTCGAAGTAGCACAGATCTTTAAAGCAAAATTTGACTTTTGCCTTAAAATTAAGGCCTTCGAAAGCCTGAAGGAACGCAAGGTAGCGGGAAACTAGACCTTCTTTGACCAGTATGGGTATATCTTGACCCTAATTCGCGAAACAAGTGCAATAGTTAGGCTACACTTGTGGTTGTTCGGACGTTCTTGTAGTAATTTTGGCCTAAAACTATTAAAAACTGACAGGTTTAAGCTTAACTGCCGGCTGTTCGTTTCCTACACTGCACCTTTCACTCAATTTGGGCACTTTGGCAATTATGTGGCGAATCAGAGTAAGAATCATAGAAATGCCAAAGGAAAAGTACTCTGGCAGTGCACTAAATGACGCCTCGGAGCAAGAACTGTATTCGTCCCGAGTTAGGCCCCTATAGGATATGGCCAACTTTGTGCCAAGTCGGGCGTTTTTCTGGCGTGTTATCCTGAGTTTGTAGCCAGAGACTGACGTGAGATTAGCACTAAGCTGTCTATTTTTCATCTCTAAAGGTTTTATGACGTCCTCCAATGTCGGATTTTATAAACTTCCGGAGGACTGTCTTCGCAAAAAAAACTATCTACGTGCCCTTGATTTGATACTACTATACCACACAGAATTGCACGCTACACGTCAACAGTATATTTCCGGTAGTGAAAACCAGGGACCGTTTCAATCCTAAAAATAAAATTGGGGCGAGTAAGTAAAAATGAGGCGTGACTAATAATATTTTTTTCCTGGAATGGGGAGAGATGCGTGGAGCAGGACGACACACAAAGCAGGCTGGAAGCAGGTTCACGAACGATTGCAAAAGGTTTCACAATTATCGGGTGCAGATAGAGTGACATGTGTATTTTAAAATTGCCGATATGTTTTCCTTTCTGACACTTCCCCAAGCTAGATAAGCAAGTTAAAACAAGATAAGTCATACACTTAAAAAAAAAAAAATCTGCTCTTGAAAGGTTTTTTGTCGTCCCTAAAAACTCTTTCAGCAAGTGAGGAGCGGTTTCCCCTCAAACACTAATAACCCCTGGCGCACTAGAAAAGCAACTGGGTAATGAAGAGGTTATTCGCATAAATATGATCTTAAAATAACCCCTTATAGGCTTTTCACGAAGAACAATTTTGGGGGGTGCTTAAAGGCCGACGACCAGACACAAGATTCTGCAAGGCAGAAGATCCTTCTCACTCTGGGGGAGGAGAAAACAGGCAGCGGTGGACAAGGTGGAAGGAGGGAGAGGAGAAAGCGGTGAAAAAGTGGAAGGCGCGAACTGGTCGTCGGTCTTTAAAATAACTTTCTAGGGTGCAAAACATGGACAAGCCGAAGAAACTCTAGAAGTTTTTTTACGACCAGATTTTTTTAAGGTACACTGAAAAGAAAGAGAAAGAAAACAAAATCCGTTCCTGAAAGGTTTTTTTGACTCCTCAAGCACTCTTTCAGCTCGTGAAGCACGGTTTCGCCTCAAGCATTATCGCCCGCTGGTATACTAGCAAGGCAACTGGGCGATGAAGTACTCTTTCGCGTCAAAAAAGGAGCTTAGAAGAACCCCCATAACTTTTTTACGAGGAAACTTTTCAGGGGGTGCTTAACAGAACTTTTTAGGGTGCAATATATGGACAAGGCGAAGATCCCTTAAAAATTCGTTCAGAAACAAACTTTTTTTAAAGTATATGATGGCTTTAACGGTGGTGGAATTTTGTTATGACAAGTTCAGTACATAATACATAAAACAATTTTACGGCTGCGCAGATATACGTTAAAAGGAAATTGTGTTACGCCTTTTGTAAAAAGGAAGCTTCTTTCCTATGGCACTTTTTGCGGGGGTCTGAAGATATTTAATTGTATAATGTGAGAATTGGTAATAAAAAACGCTGTCAAAAATAACTTTTCCTATTATCTAACCGTGCATGTTACAATTTACTCGAAACTTACTAGTCGTTTTGTGTTAGTCGAACTTCTTAAATTTATTTAGCTTCGATTCTTCCTGGGAGGGTCAAGAAACACATGATTAATTTCCTGTAAAATGCTAAGATGAGCACGTTTCTTTTTAAGCGATTGACACGCTATACCTTGCTATCTTGACGTGCTAATGCAATTTTTATAAATACCGTTCGTCAATTAATGTTGTTCAGTGGCGCGCATATTGAGCTTAATTTCGCAGTTGTTATTCGTGCGCGCACTAAGTTATACGCGGGGTATGTAACCATGCACCGTGAAATCGGACAGCCTCCTGGGGTGTTCATGCCAATCATTCATTGTTCTACATTTTCGTATAAAAGTTGGCTGAATTTATTTAATTAAAAAAAACAGAAAACACAAATATACAGTTTCTGTACGCGAAATGCGAGTTCATAATAAAGCAGCGCGGCTGATGGTGCGCCGATACTCATAGAGTATGCGCATGCACTGGTCTTGAACATAAAATATGCTCAAAGAATTCAGGCTTTCAATATTAACGAGTCCTGAACGCTTTGCGCCGAGAAACTGACGGCGGAGACGGGAGCGCGCGAGGACTTCACAACACCGAGCTCTGATTGGAAGGATTAGTGGGTAGGCCTAAAGCTACTAGCCTTTGTCTCCACTGCACTCGTTGACCGCGTTGGAACGCGGAGCGCCGGCGTCCGGCGTTGGGCTTTCGGATTCGAACTCGCTCGATGAGTGCAGTGGAGATAAAGGCAGCTAGCTTTTGGGTCTACCCACTGACCGTTCGAATCAGAGTTCGGTGTTCTGACGCCCCCACGCGCTCGTGTGTCCTCCTCTTCCTCACTTTCTCGGCGCATAGCCATGCGATTATTTTGTTCGGGTACATCCGATGCAGAAACGAATTGTTCGACCTTCATATCTGCTTTTGTCGCCCATTTTATTGGCTGCAGAGCAAGAGTGAGGTGCTCGGAAAGCGCCCACACCCTGGCATTTCTTTAATTGACTGTGGCGAATTCCGATACCCCATACTGGATGAGGTGCCTGCATGCACACTATCAGGGTGTTTTCTAAGCTCTACGAGGCCGTAAATCAACCAGTGATCAGTGTGCACTGGCGCTTTTCACAGAGGCGTCTTTAGGTCGTGTATTTGTCATACACAAAGTTTGGGGGTGTTAGGTTTCGGG